TAGTATCGATGCGTAAAGGCGATTCGTCGTTCTAGTTTTGAACTAAAGATGAGGTTGAGTTAACAGCTCAAAAGCGTTCAGAACATTTTTAGTTGCTCTCCCGGAGAGGGAAACACAACAACAACCACATGGAAGAAAAGTTCTGAACTAGAACGATGCCTTTAATATTTTAGCCTATTAAGTACCGCAGTATGCAGTGAAAAAAATTAGACTTTGAAAAAATAATGTTGGTAAACAAATATACAGTGACCAAAAAAGAAATGACCACGTGTTGATTTTTTTTTTAATATTCGTAATGTTTTTCGAGCTTATTTCTTTGTTGTTTTTTTTTTATAAAAAAAACGTGCAAGCTTTAACCAATACCATATAAATCACAATATCAAACTTCATACTAAATTTGAGAAGTTCGACAAATTTTCATCAAAATTTCAACTTTTTATTCTGCTTCTTTCGAACATTTTTGGGTATGCAGTTTTATAACACATACAATTTTAGTCTAATGAATTGCAAGTTTAAAACGGCTAAGAAACCGCGTTGATTTTTTTTTTTTTGGTAGGATTTTTGCACATTTTTCCACTTAAGCATGCATTTCTTATGAAATAAAACGCGGGACGTGGAATTACGTTACGGCTGTTCTTCTGGTCTTCTGACCCAAGCTTGCTTAATGCCATTGTTTTCGCGTATTCATCTACATTTTTCCACAGCGAGCTATATAGATATAAATGCCACAAAAATTGTTTGTTCCATTTGGATGTATGAAAATGATATGTAGGGAAACTTGTAGGCAAAAACTATATTTGCGTAGAGAAAATTTCTTGAGATGCGGTATGAATTTATTCAAAAATGTATTGGCATCACTGCTTTAAAGTACTTCTTTACTATAACTGTTAACTTGCAATGTTGCATATTATTCACCAACAGCAGCCAAAGTGCCAACCAGAAAGTTGAAAGCTTAAAAAAGCTGAAAAATTCGTACGAGAAAGTATAAGTTGCGTTTTGTCCCCAATTCTCAACTTGCGTAAGAAATGAAATTCAAGCAGAAAACTTTCTCAAGTTAATGAACTCGATGAAATTGCATTGTTTAGTTGGAATGAGTTCACCTCTCACTAGCCGGGTTAAATATATTATGTATGTATGTATGTATGTATGTATGTATGTATGTATGTATGTATGTATGTATGTATATAAAATGCGTTACCTTAAGCTCTTACCTTTTCAGTCACGCCATCATGGAAGAATGTCACACTATGATCAACGAAAACTTCATCTTCCGGTGACGGCAAGACCATTGTCACTTTACCTTTATCAGAAATCAGTCGCAGAATTTCGACCAACGCATTTATGAGCGCATTTGTTTGCATATCCTGAGTGCATATTAAAGGACTGAATACAAATTAAAAAATAAAAAATAAATAAAAATCATAAAAGAAAAAAATTATCGTCGTTATGATTTTGTTTCAAATAAAAAATGTCTTAAACATACTCCTGATTAGTGCGACCACGTCGACCGAAGAGCAAATACTTCAAAATAAAACCCTGTACGACGGAGAGCAGACCACGTGTGGCATTGCGCGGTGAACGTAGTCCATAGGAGAGCTCCTCTTTGGGTGATCCAAATGTGAATGGCGTTTGTGTCCACTCACCACGCATGGGTATCGATGAAGTGCCAAACACTAGCTGACGGAGTTCCTGTATAGAAAGTGTAGGGATTTTGAATGTATAGTTTAGGAAAACAAAAAGAGTATTTATGTAAGTTTAGCTAAAATTTCATTTCAAAAATGCTAAGTAAAGTCACATACAGAGAGGTGTGGTAAAACTTTCGAAAATTTAAGAAGTTGCTTCAAAGCATAAATAGACGGTAGCTTTGATCCGAATCAACTCTTTAAATAGGAATTTAAGGTGCTCCGGAATGAGTCCTGCAGCTATCCTCAATATTATTGTGGGTCCGGGGAATATTCGATGACAACACTGGCCAAAATGGCCAGCAAGGAAGCAGAATTGCGTACTGCAATTGCCAATTTTTTAATTTTAATTTTTATTTTATTTATTTTTATAAAGTATGAACTTCCTCTTATTTTCAAAGATTTAGTACGATTTTAAATATTAAATCTCTTTTTAATATAATTTTTTTTTATTCTTTGTTTTTGCTATTTTATGGCCTTTTTTAGCAATTATATTCAACAATTTTATTGAGCTTGAGGCCGTTTTTAAATTAAAAAAATGTTGTGGAAAAACATCAAACTTCTTCATCACGTTCTCTGGGATTTGCTGTGGTGATGTGGTGATCTCCGAAAAAACGGCTTTACCTAACTTTTACCTTTGCAAATTTATGTTATTTTTCTACAATACCTTTTCGTTTAAAAACGGCGGTGAGTTATAAAATTTTTTTTAGCTTCAGTTATTTAATTTTTCATCATTAATTTGGTTGTAACTTTATTTTATTTTTTACTACCCAATTGTTATTTTTTTTATTATATAACATAGATGAATTAAATTTTAGTGACAATAATATATGTACACATATATTTTCAAAAAAAAAAAAANAACAAATAATAATAATAATAATAGTAAAGTTTGTGTTTTCACAAAAAGTTTCTTTCTAACATTTTATTAACCAACATTTTTTACTTATTTTTCAAGCAGCGTTATGTTTTTTTTAATTTTACCGTTGCAAGTTCTGGCGTCATAGGCGTTCCACCTTCGGTTATAAAACGTGCGCTCATAATTTCGATTTTTTTTCTCCAAGTCGTTTATAATTTTAACTATTTAGTGTTTGTACTATTTTATTTACTATAACTTTATCTACTTTATTTTTAGAACTTTTTAGCTAACTACAAAACTAATTACAACTAAAAATTTATGATTTATTAGTTTCTTTCCCACTACACGAAAGTAGACGTTTACACCGTTTCGCTGCTCAGAGCGAAATGATTTTTGAAAATCACAAATTTCACGCTACTAAAGTGGCAAACTGACAAAAAAGTATCCGTTTTCCATTATATTCACGCGCACTATTCAATAAATTTTAATTTCAAATGCCATGTGCACAAGTGCACATTTAAGGACTTGCATTAAAGGACAGCCAAACACATTTGCACGAAACTACATTTTAACACACAAATACCAGTACAAGTGCTTTTAGGCCTAGGCCAGTAAGATGCATCCACACTCATACATATGTATGTATTTAACACAATGTGGGTGTGTCTTTTCCGTTAAGCAAAATATTAAAGTAGCTAGGAATTTGATATTTTTTATTCATCATTTTATTTTTCATAAATATCAACGTTCACACTTGGCCTAAAACTTTTGCCGTACCGCATGGCGGCTGCCTGCTGTTGCCTGCCAGTCATTCAAAATTTAAGTGAAATTGAAATTTACTTCACACCTACTGTTAAAGTATTTAAGTACTTACTTGCATACTATGTACATATGTTTGTATGCATGTTTGCTCATGCATTTTTGGTTAGAGTGGCACGAGTTACTTCTCAGTTATAGTTGATATGGTTGGTGGCAGGACGCCGGTTGCAGGAAATGCAGTTGACAGCTTTTTTTTATCGATATAAATAATTTGTTTGAAAAGATGTTTTGGATAGGCGTAATATTAAATAGATATTTTTAAATGAAAACTATCGAATTGGCTATTATTATTTGATTGCCAAACATTGAAAACTTTGAAAATGATATGCGTTCCAATCAAAGCTCGGTCAATCTGTTACTACTTTCTTAAAAGGAGCTTTAAGCTTTGAAGCTTTACTGCATATTTTCTGAAGATCTAAGATTTTCTTCTTTAAAGTTATATGTTTTCACGCTATCCCCGCATGATGAGCTGGAATTCTTTATAAAGCGGCACTTGAAATTGGTAAATTCTGAAACTGTTTTTACCATTGTGATTTTAATAGCTTAAATTTTATTTATTTTTAATACAAAAAAAAATAGTTTACTGAAGAGGACTCACCTGGTACGTTGCTATTTCTATACAGCGCCGTATTGACGCGTTCGATGAGCAAGTAAGACAGCTCTTATGCTGGATTTCCTCTGGGCATTAAATTATATTTTGTTATAATCGCTTTTATACTACTCGACATTTCAGAATCCGCAACGATCTTGATTCAACAAGCAAATCAGCGCCATTGACAATGACGAACAATGAGGAGGGCTCCCTGATGATTGTAACCTTACTTTTGACTGGACGTGCCACGCCTTATCTGCATAATGGTGTTGTAAATGTAGGCGACGAGAATACCTATGTAAGTCAGAGAGTTGCAAAAAAAAATTTTCTGAAGAATTTTTTTTTGAATAAAATATTATACAATTTAGGCTATACCACAATATGGAATACTGAGTCGATGTACAATCGGTTTTTTACTCTGGGACAATGATAATTCACAGGTAATAAAATAAGAATATGAAAAGAAATAAAATCGAGTAAAACAAATGTTAAAAAAGATTAAGGGGCTTCCTCAAGTAAATTCGAAAATTTACCAGTCCTTTAGAAAGAAATTTTGTTTTCAGAAAATATGTGCTAAAAGGGCAGCTAAATTTTAAAATCTACTTGAAAAACGCCACTTTTGCAAAAACGTTTATCCCCACATTAATTGCATACGCACCTTTTTTCTCCTTTCTACCCAACAGCCCTCCGTGGCGGCCTCCCGACAACCAGGTTCGCGCCTCAAAACACCCAACTACCCGATTTGGATTACCAGCTGTTGTGGTCACTTTGGTGTGCTTTTCAATCGGAATCCGGAACTTTTACGAAATTATCATGCCGAGTCGCGGTTCGATTTGAATTATTACAGCTGCTCTGGCCACAACATTTTCATGGCTATCGATAATCGCGTGTACAATGAGCAAGCCATTGGCATGTTGGAGCGGCAGGCGACCACAGAAAGTGCAGCAGCAGAGAGTGGTAGTACTGCAGCTGGCGGTGGAGGTGGTGGTGGCGGCGGTGTTGGTAGTGGTAAGAGCACTGCGAGTGGCGGTGACAGTGCCGATTTGCTGGCACGTGAAGAATTGACAACGAATACGCCGTTACAACGTTTAATTCACACCAAATGGGAGGAGGCGCACATACGTTTCAATGTGCAGCCATCCATGCTGAGTTATCTGTTTTGCACAACACCATAAAAAGGATGCGTGTGGTGTGTGAGTGTGTATGTGTTTGCCGGAGCTTTGTAAGGCTGCGTATGAACACACGTGCCGGTTTGTAAAGTTCGTGAAAAATGTTACAGTTATGTCGATTTCATAAATCGTTTGGAATGCAGTGAAGTGTGCGACAGTGCAGCTGTGCTTTTCAGCTTGTTTTTTTCCACCGCGCTTAAATCACAGTTGTGTGTCACAAAAATACCCACGACTCTCTTTCTTCCGCTACTGACAGCTTTAAAGTCTAAACAACACGTTTTTGTATACAAATGTTTGCACTTGAAGTTTTAAAAGAAAAAGAAGATGAGATGAAATCTTAATAAAAAAATGTTTGTTTGGCTTGCTTATAAACTGTTTTTTTTTAATGCGGGGACAATTTAAGGGTTTAGTAAGTACTCTAACGGGACGTTACCTGCTAACATCGCACGCCTTTAAACTATTTATGAGTTATGAGAGAAGATTCAGATCGAAAGAGGAGACAGGGGAACATACCTTCTGCAAGTTTATTGCCCTTAGAGGACTGTGGATAAGTCTCCTAGGAGGAAGCTTTCTGTCCTCTGAGGAAGCCGCCACCAAAAATGTGTACAATAAGACGTTCCAAAGTCAGTTTAAAGGCCAGCGTAGCAGGAAATGGCCTAGAGTCATCCCTATTGAGGGAAATGAGAAACTTCGTGAGCTTCATGTCATATGCTCTGCATATAACCCTGGACATCTTGCAGCCTTGCCTCTTGTTCCACGCCTTCGAGTTTCCATTTAATCGCTCTACCTACTCTATCAGCGTGGTTTCCGACCAACAACTCTATTTGGCAAGCCTGTCGGCGACGGCGCTATGCTCCGGAACCCAGTAAGGATATACGTCACTATTGGTATGTAGCACTCCGTCACACTTCTAGAGGAAGTGCTGTGAGATAGTGGCGCCTTTATCGCAGCCTAACTGTCTATATAGAATTTCACCTGCTTATTTCGTGGAGTGCTGTTCAGTAGCTCCACCGACCTCCTTAATTTGGCAGCTTATAAGCCGTTCTCCATCTTCGATTCGCTGTATAGAGATTCACGGAGCCAGCACTCCTCATGCCTCACGCCAGTCTTCGATCTCGAAGCTCATTGAAAAGTTCAGATCCGCCATCACATAGTCAAACCGTCCTATAAAAGCTGACGCTATACCACTGCGACCGTAAGACCTACATACAAACTGACCTCTAGCATAAGGCCTGGTGGCAGTTTTTGACCCTATATGGCCGATAGGTCCGCCGGGAGAGATGCAACAAGGTGTAGAGTGCTGCCGTTAATGCCATCATTAGTATCCCTGTCATGCCGATCATTGATGGACTATATAAACTTTTCATACTCTTAACAAATGTTTTCTTCTTCAATGCTGTCCATCAAACCAATACCCCATGAACCAGTATCGGTCTGACTATTGCGGTGAAGATTAAGTGAGAAATAGAAGGACACAAGCCCCAGGTGTCGCCCAGCATCTTTTTGCATGCATAGAAAGCCACTGAGGTCTCCTTCGCCCTATACTCCACACTGAGGTGCGACGACAGCTTACTATCAAGTATTTTTCCGAGGTACTTGCAGCTTTGCTTTACCTGAAGGGTCACCTCATCTAGTTTAGGCTTGGACCAGTTCGTAACCTTGTATTTCCTGGTAGAGAATACCAGATCTACATTTTTCTGCGTTAATGGTAAACCCCACTTTGATTTCCCAAAGATGTGTCACCCGTAGTGCTTGGCTCATAAAAGATCTGAGTGTGGAGGGACACTTTCCGCTTACTATGACAGAAATATCATCTGCATATGCAGTAAGTTCTCCCTCTATTTTCTTCAGGATTCTCCGTACCACTGTTACCCGGTTTGGTGGTCTGATGTGTTCGTGGTTTATCTGAAAATACTATGGACCTTAATGGTCTCGAAGCTACGAAGTGTCTATCCAGTTGACCTAACCTAACCCAAGTTAAAAATTGTAATGCAACAACATTACGATCTATACTACATGTGTGTCCCAGGCGTTAGACTGCACAAGGTTTATTTTCCTATTGATTTTTGTACTGCAGCCCTTTCCTAAAAGGCTTTCTATTCAAATTTATCTGAAACCAATATGTGTGGTCTAGTCACCACAAATTTACACACACACACAGTAAAATTACAACACACCGCATGGGCGAAGAGTCGCCCAGACAGTGGACATTTGAACAGCTTTTTCTGGTTAGATGACGATGAAGAGGACAACTGAGCTTGTTGGTGTTATTTTTGTTGGAGTAGGGGCTACTTACTTTACTTTGCTTTAGTAATTGTCGTTAAGTTTAATTGATGGTAGAATCAGAAAACGTGCTTTGTCGACGTTTTGGGACCCAAGTTAGAGCTGTTAGCTGAGGAGAGTTAAGGGCATATGAAGAACTGGTTGGTGTCATGCGGAAAACCTTCATATGGGCTGGCTCATAATTGCGTCAAAGTAAAGCGGGTTTCGGTAGGCAGCTGAAAATCTTCCTCTGCAAAGGGTTGTGGTTGTACTTCGATGATAGTGTACGCGAGATAGCCTCTCTGTTAACGTTGTTAGTTGCCAACATATCTGTACAGCGTCGAGTTTAGTGGTTGTCAGATGCAGTATTGCATCCCGTATTTCTGTTCACAGGGAAGCCTTTTGGCGTGCCCATGCAGGGTTCCAGCTTCCAAAAAGTGCCAGTTCTGCTGCTCACGTTGCTGGCAGCCGACCAAAAACTGCTTGGTCAGCATTATATTTATTTATGTATTACGTTTGCTTACTGGGGAATCGTAGGGTATTTTCTGCTCACATTAGAAAGCATCCCGCAGCATGTCAACAGTGCTGTGTGGTGGCTTGTTCATAGCTTCGTCTACTGCATCCTACTAGTCCGTGATGACCAAACTGGCGCAGCATAGTTCATAGTTGCTGGTATAGAAGTTTGATGTTTTACCCTTAAGAGAAGCTAACATCGACTAGGATCAGTGGATTACAGCCAAGGTATGCCAAGCTATTTCGATCACGAATCACATTTCTGCTTGAATAAGCAATTGCTAATCGCTCTTGGTACGGCTGCTGAAGAGGACCAGTTACAGTGACTTACGCGGAAACAGCTGTCATAACGAAGTGTGCTATGCCGATACTTCCGAGATTATTATGTTCGATTATTATCCTTTTTTACAAAATCGGTTTTCGAGTTACTCGAAAAATTGCAATTTGAAAAAAAAAACTGGTTCCAGATTTTGAAATTACGAAAAACTCGGTTAAACCGGTTTTATTTTACATAGTTTTCTTACAGTGAAAATGCCCATATTAAGTCATGGCCACAAATCTCAACACAACTATTAACAATAAATATAGCTTTTATTTGGAAAAGAGAAAAGTAAAATATATAAATATGTAAAAATAGAAAGATCAAAAGTAAAACAAATAAAAATCAGTGAAAAATTCACGTTTCGTCTTATTTTAACATTTTTAATAGTTTATTTAAGTTTTTTTTTCGGACTTGAGTAGGTCCATGGTTAAATTTCGGGGCCCAGCAACATGAAAAAAGTTCTTTTCAAATAGCGGTCGCTCGTCGCCAAACAATGGCAAACCCCCGAGTGTATTTTTGACATAAAAAAGCTTCTTCGGAAGTAAAAGTGAAGATCTCTCAATTTGTGTCATAACATCACGAAGCAGAGCACGAATTGAAGGAGAAACTCGGCCAAATATCATATACTGCTCATTCCCAAATAACCTAGGAGTCCTGTTATTTTTGGTAATTTGAAAGAACAACATAACACCGTATTTCACAGCTACATACATATGTTTGTCGAAAAAACATTTTTTCCGTCTGATCAACATATTTTATTTATAATAATTTACATAATTATAAATAATCAAAAATAATCAAAAAAAAATTATTTTATTGTGAAACTAATCCCATTAGCTTTTTTGATTATTTTGAATTTTTTCTTCCAATTGGCTAAAAATAAAATTATTTTTTGATTATTTTTAATGGTAATCGGTTATTAATTTAAAAGTGGAAATAATGGTAATAAATCATATAGCAGATTTAAAAAATAATAATTAATTACTTAACAGCCCTGCCTAGGACGCTTCGAAAAACTCAAAATTTTTATTGAGTGGTGAAAAAACAGGTTTGTTCGATAAAAACATCCGGTTAATTCCATATTCGAAAAATCAAGATTAAAAAAACAGCCTACAGGTATTCAAAAACCCGGTGGAAACCGGTTGGGAGAAACAGAGTCAATCACCCTAGTATCCAACAGATAGGTCCACCCAGCAATAGCAAACATATTTTAATAATAGGAAAGAGAGTAGGCATAAGGACATGAGCATGAATAGCTTGAGCTTTTTTACACTGGGAATTAAGGCGAAATTCAATGATTTTGGAATATTTTCCAAATAGCGACAATATTTTAATAGAACCCGAAATTTATCAAATAAATTAAAAACAACTTCCTTAAATTGTTCCACTCTTTTTATTCAAAATTAATTTTATTGCATTGCATTATATTTAATTATATCGTATGTATATTTACAAAAGTTTATAAAGTTTATATATTCACAATATTTTTTTTTTTTTTTTAATTTAAATGTTAAGCTTTTATCGATCTTTGGGCTTGGCTCACAATATCTGACTTATCTATTTATTACTATGATTCCTTTTTAGGCATATTTAGCTTATTTTATTACAGCAAGTTTTTTAACGTCTATCTATGTGAGTACCTAGTTTAAATTTATAGTTTACTTAAATATGTTGGTTTTACAGTAATATTATATTTACTTCATGTAGTCATATTAAATATAGGCTGTTTTTTATGTGTATGTATTCGTAAAAGTCTATGTTCACTTAAAAATGTTGGTATGTAGTACAAATACTTATTTATACTTAGAAAAAGTTTGAAGGTCATTTCAAGAGCTCATTTAGTTATTTAGTTTGTAGTTCTACTATATATTTATGTTGAAATTTTAATATAAAGAGTTAGTGTTAGTAGAAGTAATTTTCATATTTTATAGTAAAACCTTTATTAAATTTACTTTTTATGTAAAATTTCCTCTTTTTATAAATCTTCATACATGATTTTCTTCGGTATTATTTGCTGATTGCTATAGCGTGTCTACTTATTTTCGATTTAATACTAGAGTAATTAGCTTTATAATTTTAGTATTTGTAAAATTCACTTCAAATACATGAACAAGATTTTTAAGTAAAGAATTTGAGTTTCCTTTTCAGAAATTGCTTTCTTATTAA